TTTTTTTTTTTTATATACATTTTAGAAACTTTTAAACCTAACAATAACATTTAAAACATGTCTTTGCAAAATGAGCTGATAATACTGGATAAAGATCTGAACCATGAAACTGCAACACAGAGAAACGTGGGAATCTCACAACCACCTCAATGTGAATGTCAATGTTTACACATCACTGTTTTTTTCCTTCCACAGCTGCTTGCTAATTCGGGCTTGTTTCCAAAGATGGGGCCCTGTAATTAATGTGGGCCCCAGCTGGTGCTGTATTTAAGAACTGCACCTGGTCCGTGGGCCTTTCACTTACTTGTGGGCCTGTGTATATGTGTGTTTATTTATTTCTGACTGTTCTTTTCCACAGGAGGCGCTTTCAAGCTGTCATTTGATCCCTCGCTGAAGATAGGGCAGGTAGAGAGTGAAAACGGGGAGGTGGTGGAGGGTCAATATAACCCCTCTGACTGTACGGCCAGGCAGAGTGTGGCCATCCTTATCCCTCACAGAAACAGAGAAAAGCACCTGCTCTACCTCCTCTACCACCTTCACCCGTTCTTACAGAGGCAGCAGCTTCACTACGCCATTTATGTCATTCACCAGGTGGGCAAGTCTCCCATTAGCCCTGGCAGGAGTTTTTGCAGTCATATAATCCTTGTTGCTAGAATTTGGTGCCATTTTTAGAGGGTTCAGTCTTCATTTTTCTATGTTAGTAAGGGTTTCTTGAACCACAAACATAATTTAGTTTTTTATGAGCATTTCCTAGTTTCTATCTGACGTTAAAAAATGACTTTTATTGCTTCTATACCTTTAAGACTTAAACATAAATGCCCTCTTCATATGTGAAATGCATAGCAGTGTTTGCTTATGACTTTGCTCCTGGTTCCATTATAGTTTGCATTGCCTTTCCTTAAATAACAGCTTGTTTGCAAAGCCTATAATACATTGTTCCACATTCACCAAACAGTCTATTCTGCAAAAACTGGTAAGACCAAACTGAAATGACTGCAAATATTAAACTCTGATCCCTAACATTGAGTTCATTTGGAAGGACACACTTTTTGTTCTTTAGTTATATAAAAACAATTTGAAAGAGAGAATTGTTGTCTTCAACAATAGTATATTATTTCCTTCTCATTATTACAGTGACAGAGCAAGCCAAGTTTCTGACTA